GAAAGAACGATGGAAAAGATGTTTTCTCTCTTATCCCGACTGGTTTCTGGAAGACTACATTGTTGATCTGATTGGTTGAAGTTTGCTGTGATAATGATAGCTAGACGGTTAGCGAAACAGTTTCCAATGATGACTTCCCAGATGAAATCTGAAGCGTTTAACTTTTTTGACTATGTTCATCTATCACAAATTTTGTTTTTGGTAATGTAATGCTGATGGTTCTGATCAATCTGCACTACAACTGTGTTACCACATTAAAAACTTTTTGGGCGCCCGGTTAGCTCACTTGGTAGAGCTGGCGACCCATATATGGAGTTGCTGCAGCGGCCCGGGTTCGAATCTGACCTGCGGCCCCTTGCTGCATGCAATCCCCTCTCTCTCCACCCAACTTAGCTGTCTCTATAAAAATAAAGCCAATAAAAAGGCCAAAAAAATAACTTTAGAAAAACATAGCTTTTAACTGCTACATGAAAAAATTATTGAAAACAGTGGCTGCTTGGAATACATAGGAGGATACATACATAGGAATACATACTGCTTTAAAACAACTAAAGCATGCTTTGGGTCACTGCTGTAAACACTGTTAATGCCAAACTGATCTCAAATACCTTTCTAAAGACTTGATACAATTCCTCATGAACACACTAATATATATGACGTAATCATCACTGCAATTTTTTGTTTTTTTTTTGTTTTTGTTTTTGTTTGCCTGGGTTTTTGACTGTCCTCTGTCTCTCTGATGTCCACACAGATGATGTGACAGGACTACTGATGCTCACGATGTTTTGTTAGACCGTTCACTGGGCAGACAGAGAAATATGTTCTGCTGAATGGCTCTGAGAGACACACAGAGGCCGGGAGGACACCGACCCACAAGGACTGGGTTTTCTGTGTCCTCCTACGCTGTGAAAACACTTCAGCTTTGAAATTACTGTCACAATTAGTTCCCTTTACAGCAAAACACTGTGAGTGATAACAGATCCATGATTCGTGACCTGATCTTCTGTCTTATTATCTTATAAAAAGATGAGATCTGACTTGCCTTAGTGGTGCAGCCACTGTGTGGCACCCAGGGACGAACTCCCGATCTGAGCAACACTGTAAAAAACTGTATTTGTCTGGCAGCTCGGGCATCAAAAAATACTGCAAAATACCTATTTACTAACTACCTAACTTCCTAACTTCCTAGCCTAAAATACAGTAATTTTGTATAATTAAAATACAGTTTTTAACTTTAATTTTACATAAAAGCCTTTGTGTTTTTTTTGTTTGGCTTTTTAATGTTTAATTAAAGATATTTTGTATTTTACATGTAAAAACAATAAAATAACCTGTAAATACAGGCAAACACTGCTATAATACAAATAATCAGGTTTAAATTCATAGAAGAGTGCTGTTGTTATTAGATCTGAATTTTAGAGAGTTAAAAAACTGTCATATAAAATATAAAAACTCACTATGAAATTAATTTTTGCTATTTTTAGTGATAAAAACTGTATTTTATTTCAGTTTACCAATGCTTATACACTGTTAAAAAACATATATTCAACATTTTTGTTGTGAAAACCTCCATAATTATACAAGATATCATTAATTTACAAACAAATCCATGTAAAATTACAGAACAAATACCTTTTTCTACTGTTAACTGTCTTTTTACATACTTTTAGAAATAAATTAACAGCATTAAACTTGAATTCAACAGTTAAATACAGTTATTTACTGTAAATATATGCAAAAAAATAATCAGTTTGCAAATGTATTTTAACTTCTTAACTTCTTTTTATGTGAAAAAGGGAGTCATTTTATGATTATTTACATTACAGATTTTACATTAGACATAAATTCACAGGCTATTTTTGTAATTTTATTAATTAAGTAAAATAAACAGGAAATACCCTGTAAACTTACAGCCTTTTTTTTTACTGTGCAGTCCCGTGCACTGACTGGGGAATTAACCTGATATGCATTTGTTGATGGTGGAGGAAACCCACGCAAACACCATGCACAAAGGCCCTGCCCCCACTGAGAATTAAACCCAGGACCTTCTTGCAGTGAGGAGACAGTGCTAACCACTGAGCCACCGTGCTGCCCGCTGCGCTAGGGTATAGGTAGTATCCTCCCTCCCCACCTCCCTGCTGTGGCAGTTTGGTGTTTCTTTTTGGGGAGTAACAAGGTCAGATGCCTAGATTCTAAACATCAACACCACATACATAATAATCCATTCCATGTGATGTGACTAGATGAAATGTTATATTGTAAGAAGTCACATAATCTTGCCTCAAACCCTGGTAGAAACCCAACTCATAGCTGCAGCTGTTTGTTGAAATATGTTATGCCCTTTACCACTGCTTACTGGGTAAAAATGAGAAATTTATAGTTTGTCAGTGAAGCCCACAGAGGAACCAGCATCTGATTTGCTGCCTAGAAATAGACCAGTAAACAAAGCTCACAATAGCAACTCTAGACTTTGATTTCTTCCATCTTGCAAGAGGCACGTGGTCTGTCTCTAAACTTTGTTCAAACTAACCAAACTTTATTTTAATTTCTAGTGGAGAGACTAAGGTTTGCAAAGCTATCAGACATGTACGACTGAAATGTGTATAAAATTATGCAATGCAGACGGATCATTAGTTCCCAACCTTTTTCCTTAAGGAAGCCCCTTTCTATCCCTAAATAAACTCACTAAATTACATATTTTATAGATATTTTATATTATATTCAGTGCATAACAAGTAGTGAACCTCTGATGAACTTTACAATGAACCCAAACAGTGAACACAATAATTGCAGGAAGATTTTGTAAAACAAGCCTTTTGGATGAATTTTGAGCAGATTATTTCTTGTGAATATTGATCAGAGATGAGTTTTTCTGACATTCTAGGAGCTTTCATACAATCATACAAACGTAATAGGCTTTTTTGAGAAGTTCAGTGTTGCTTCTGCTTGGCATTAGATTTTCTTTAGTTCATATCTTGAATAATAATCTAAACTTGAAAAATAACCGTTTTGTTCAATTTTCTTCTCAGAAACAAATGAAATGCTGAGATAATGGCCTACTGTATATATATTTTATATTTTTCTTACAGCCCTTAAAAGAAGGCCTCATGACTTTATGCCTTAGGCTACATGGGGGACAGGACCCCCAGGTTGGCAACCAGTGATGTAGAGTGTTTCCATTTCCAGCTTTAAAATCTGTAGTTTTTATATTTACTTTTAGGGATGTAAGAAAATATACCGATACACCAGCACTGGACAAAAATTGCTTTATCCAGAAAGATCCAATGGTATCTGAGTTTATGGTTCTGTATCCAGGTCTGTATATCAGATCATATTATTTCATATTACACCATATAGAAATAAATACAAAATCTGTTAAAGATCCAGTCTGTAATCTTCCACATACAGACAATATCTGTCCATAAACAAATGTATCATTTGGGATCTTATCGTATTTTTGTGCATTGATTCAGCAGTATTGCAATGTGAATATCGCATTATTTTGTTTTGTAATATTGTATCGACTCTCAAACACGCAGTATGGATTTTTGTGTTTAAACCCCCAACTGCTAGATAGCAGTGTTGTAAATGTAAACTAAGGGGTATGGTGTTGGATGGGATTGTGTTAAATACAAATGTAGATTCCACTGTTCTGGTTGCATAAAACAGTATCACAATATATCGTGATATGTACTGTATCACCAGATTCTTGTCCCTACACAGTGGGTCTGTTGTAAAAACTTTGCTCCTTGGACAAAAACCGTCTCATACAAGTCTTCTTTATCATTATAAGAAGCCTAAATAACAGCAGAGCACTGTGGAACCACCAATTGCTTACGGAGTTCTGTCATTGTGGAAAGCAAAATGCCACAGCTATGTAAAGAGAGATCACTGTATCTTCGTGTTTGTGGTTCCACAACAGCCAGTAAAGATAGAACTGTGTTGAATACTGTTGATTATACGAGCCAGATTTGTTTTAATCAAACATTTATGTTGCAAGACTAAAGGCTCTACTTTGCAAGTTGAAAGTTCTCACTGAAAGTGTGTGTGACTAATGTGTTTAGTGGTGAAAGCATGCTGCAAGTTGCAAAGCCTGCAGGTCTTCTAAAATCCTCGCTCTGGCCAGATTGTGCAAACAAAAAGACTTCAATGAGAAAACATAATGTAATAACACATTTTCAGGCTTTACCCATGTGTCATGCTCATACAGTATGTGCATAATCCTGCACAAATCCTCACAACAACATAAGTGCTATCACCACTTATCAATTAGCAGTTATGGGTTCTGCCTGTTAAAAATGTGCTACATTATTTCTTTCAGCATGGTTGAGGGGCTGGTGGCTTTTTGTGCTTCCAATTCAATAAAATTTGTCTCACAGTGTTATCATATTTTATTGGTTGTTTGACAACCAGAATTGGGTCAGGTTTGAGTTGCTTCTGTAAGTTTGGAATATTTTATAACTGTTGTATATCTATAACTGGCAATTCTAAAACCTGTGTGCTAATGAAGCCGGTGCCTGTCCACATCGATCGCAGGAAGGATTTACTGTAGGAAACATCTCGTAGAGTCTCAGTTCTAAAAGGTGCAGTCTGTGTAATATTTTGAACTCCAATAGTCCATGTCTGGTGCAGAGGGAAAGGATTGGGCCTTTCTCCACCGATCTGTGATTTCCACTCCCAGGTCCTCCTGCAAGCCTCCCTCAGGTGGCTCAGTGTGTCTGTACACTCTATTTGTGCTAATGTCATGAATTCTTGGCATAGCCTCTACAGCTAAAGTGTTGAACAAGAACAATGTATTCATTGTGGAACCATTGGGAAAGGATGGACATGAAAAAGTCTCTTAAGTATATATTTATTTTTTCCTGTAGTTAATTAAATTTGGGACTAAAGAACTTTCTTATTTAAATTGATTCTGTTCTATTTTGAATAGTTTGTGAAACTGAGACCTTCCAATACAGATGGTTAACTTGTGTCCTATCTTCGTCCTCCCCTGTCTGTAGGTGCAGCTTTGACCGATATGGCCGTGTCATTGCGCTGCCACAGGACAGTCCTATTGGCTGTGGCCTTCTGTTTCCTGCCATGCATCACGTCCTCACTCAACCTGGAGGATCCCAACGTCTGCAGCCACTGGGAGAGGTCAGTCACTATGCTGCCTTTGTTTCTTTAAAGGTCTTTGAGCTCAGGGGCCAGTGTCGCAAAGATGGCCCAAGTTCCCACTTATATTGGTGGAACTAATTCCGCTGGAAAGCAATGGCTACCACAGACTGGTACAATGTTGTCATCATGGTAGTGCAGACAAAAGTAGAGTCAAATCTGGACTTTATACACAGCCTTGGTGTTCTTAACCCAGTCCAGATTATTAAGGTGTACTCCCAGGTACTTGTAGACTGCCAGGACGGAAATGCGTTTAGGGTTTTTTTCCACCTACTAAATTCCACCACCAACTCCTTCATTTCACCAACGTTAAGCAGTAGGTAGTTCAGCCCATATCATGCAACAAAGAAGTGCACTATGCCCCTGTACTCTCAGCCTCCTTCCTGCTAATGCAGTCCATAATTACAGAGTTGTCCAAGACCTTCTGCAGGTGGCAGGACTTGGCTGAAGTCTGAGGTGTAGAGGGCGAAGAGAAAGGGTGACAGGACCTTCTCCTGTGGGGCCCTTGTGATGTAAGTAGGGAGTTAAGATAGCTAAGTGGCTGTGGCTCAGAAGCAGAGTGGGTTGTCCACTAATCGGGGGGTTGTTGGTTCGATCCTCAGCTCCTCCCGCCATGTGTCGAAGTATCTTTGAGCAAGATACAGAACCCCAAATTGCTCCAGATGCTGTGCATCGGTGTGTGAGTGTGTATGAATGCATTAGTTTCTGTTTGATGGGCTTTGCCATCACTAAGTGAATGTATGTGAAAGAGTGAATGTGGCACGTAGTGTAAAAGCGCTTTGAGTGGTCGGAAGACTAGAAAGGCTCTATACAAGTACAGGTTTACCGTTTACCATTTAGTTAGCCTAGCTTAGCATAAAGACTGGAAGCAAGGGGGAAAAAAATAGCCTGCCAAAATTCAGAAATACACCTCCTAACAACCAGAAAGCTCCCTCATTAACATTATGTTGTTTTTACCTTTCTGTTTGCGTACACATTGAGCAAACATGAAACAAAGTATTCATGAATGAAATTATACTCAGACATAAATCCAAAGAACAATCACTGTAAAAGCTCAAAAACGTGGCACGTTTTCAAGACAAAGGTGTTAAAAAGTTTTGACGAATCTGTTAAATTAAAAGAAAGCTTGTAAATCCATTAAGTGAGATCTAAAAGAAGAAAGGTGGGGGCAGATTTCCCAGCTATATTGCCTTTCACTGACTAATCTGAGGAAACAGCTGCATACACACTCAGAGCCTCCGCCTGTGCTGTCCTGAAGACTGACAGCAGAGACAGATTCAGTGGAAGACAACACACTAAAGGCCTGACTCACACAGTTGATTATAATGAGGCATCGTAAGAACGTTCAGCCTCACCAAGATCTGAAGAGCTTTGGGAAAGTGAATGAATTTGCAAAGTCTTTTCTGAACAATGCTAATTTAAATAAATCTTAACTCAGTCAGCAGGAACAGTGCTTATTGTTTAAGGATTTAAGGATAACCATAGTAATAAGTTCTGGTATGAGTAAAAGTATTAAAGCTAGCAGCGATGAACGGGCCCTCGCACTCCACGCAACTCGGGGTGTGCTGTGGCCGCGTCACGTGCCTTCGTAACACGTGCAGACCACGACATGAAAATTTTGTGGAAATCAGATCATAATCACATCGCAGCACTTACTTCCTGTTGCCAGTAGGTGGCGCTCTCACTATATCTGAATATTGTCATGTAGACATGTTCAAGGCGGGACTCTTATCAAACGTGTGAAGTTTCATTGAGATTGGACCACGTACAGTGAAGTTGTGAGGACGTGTTACAGAATATGTGAAGTTTAGTGGACATAAGTTTATCATGTTAGTTATGAGTACTATCTGTTTCAACGTACGTGTACAAATAGCTTTTGATCAGCAACATACTGTAACTGTACTGACCAATTTTGAAGTTGATCCGATAAAGTCCCTAGTAGTAGTGCGTTCAAATACAATGCAAAAAATCACAGAAAATGACAAAAACAGACACGCCGTTCAATGTACAGTCACAAATAGCACAACGTTGAAACGTGACGCTGGGGCTGCATTTTTTAAAAATACTGTAGGGGGCACTATAAACACGACAAACACAATTATTGGTATGTGAGCTACAGGCACCACTCTACACGTGCCCTGTGAATTTCATATTCATAACTATTACGGTCTCCGCCCAGTGATTTACCATGCCACCAGAGCGCCACCTAGTGGCGGATTGTTGACACATTTTTTAGCGAACCTCAGGGAGACATGGGGAATCATTTTACCAAGTTTTGCTTCAATCACACGTGCCGTTGCTGAGATATAACCTTTGTCATTTTAAAGAGCGCCACCTTGTGTCGATGGCCTGAAATTGTGCACGATGCCTAAGGACATTTTCGGACCCAAGCTTGGTGTCAATCGGACATACCAATGTGGAGAAATGCCCCACTTCCTGTTTTGACAAAAAATCTACAGGAAGTCCTAATTTTATAGCGTGCTCATTTTTTTAAATATAAAAATTCCTCAAATTACTTTTTTTGCCAGGACGGTCTCCAGATGCTACGTGAAAAATGTTGTGCAAATCAGTTAAATTATGAAACTAAATTAAACCAGCATTCACTATGTAATTACCGAAAAATTGGCTGTTATAATGAAGGTAAAAGTGAATGGATGGTGAACATTCCTGTAGCAGTTAGTAGACAGCAGTCAGTTCAGATAGTTCAACGTTCCTGAGAAAACCAAATGCTTTATTTTAGGTGTAAGAGATGGTTTATTATGTTTAAATGATTTGCTGAGATTTGAACTGGTGAAGCTTGCTGAAGTAAGCTCTGCTGGGGCCAAGGTTGGATTTGGTTTGACCCTGGCTTGTAAATGGTAAATGGTAAATGGACTGTACTTATATAGCGCCTTTCTAGTCTTTCAACCACTCAATGCACTGTACACCACATGCAACACTCACTCATTCACACACATTAATACACTGATGGCAGTGGCTGCCACGCAAGGTGCCACCAGAACGGAAACTAATCATTCATACATACTCATACACCGATGCACAGCATTTGGGAATTTGGGGTTCAGTGTCTTACCCAAGGACACTTCGACATGCAGCGAGAGGAGCCGGGGATCGGACTGCCAACCTTCCGAGTAGTGGACGACCCGCTCTGCCTCTAAGCCACAGCCGCCTGCTGATTAGTCCAAAATACAAAGTATTGTATTTTATAGATTCTTGTAGGAAGTGGTTAGTATCAGAGACCCACTGGAAATGATGGAACATTTTAAATTAATTAATTTTAAGTAATTTATCAACATCCTCTGGTGTAAATTTCTTCAGTGTGAGAATTTGCTACTTTTGTCTCTTTTGTATCATTGTAAGCCGAGTGTCTTTGGGTTAGGGTTGTCTGGAATTTTATAGACTACTGTACATGATTTACTAACAATGACCACGCCATCGAATGTATGAAATAAGAAAAGTTTACTGCAAATAATGAACAATTGTGAACCCATGTGGGATAAGGGATGAAGGGATGGAGGTAGGGTCGAGTGATAAGGGATGGAGGTAGGGTTGAGGGATGAGGGATGGAGGTAGGGTCGAGGGATGAGGGTTGAAGGAATGAAGGCCGGAGGAATGAAGGTAGGAGGAATGAAGGTCGGTTGGCGGATCGATGAATGGATGGAGGGGTTCGGTGTGATGTAAGAGGGAACCGAGTGGGTTGCAAGACACTGAGTGGGTGAGCTGTCTCTTCGGATCTCTTGTAGAGAGCCCCAGTGGTTCCTGTATTTGGATAAGAGAGGGAGAGAAAAAGAAAGGGTTTGGGTGGGAGGGATGTGGAAAATGAGTCAAGGAGGAAGTGAACGGATAAGGTGTGCTTAAGTAAGTTTGAGCGGAAATGAGATGATTGCACGGTGTGGTCTTTGTTCCCGAACCTAGTTATAAAACATCATTTAATCAATCACAAAAATGATTGTTAGTTGCTGCCCTAGTTTTGCTGATATGAGTGTGGAATTGAGTTAGTCAGTTGACAGATTGATGACAAAGGATTTGGATTTATCATATACTCAATCAAAATACCAGAGGTATGGACCCGAGTCACATGACCTGGACTCAAGTCTCTTCCTTAATTACTTTAGACTCAACTTGACAAAATAAAAAAATACTCGCAACTTAACTTGGTCTTTATAACCACTGACTCCTGACTTTACTTTGACTTGATCCTTTTGACTTGAAAGTTCTTCATACCTTCCCTCAAGCCCAAATTTTGAACAGTATAAGAATAAATTTCCTGAGGCTAGTTAACGTTAATACTATTCCTTCTCAAGTCGACACTTAATTCCCCAGATCCACTTTGTTTGAGCCAATCTGATAGCAAGTTGCAGGAGAGAACCATGAAGAACTGACGTTATGTTACTGAGCGACAGTTTGTAAAAACTGTACCAAACACAATTTCTCTTATGTACAAAAACTATGCTCATCATGACTTGTTTAGGACTTGGAAATAAAAGTTTAGGACTTAGGACTTGACTGGGACTTGACTTGTCTTGATCAACATTATCAGTGGATTCTTGGTCAGATTAAATAAACTATGTGAAACTTATTATTGCCACATTTCATTAAAAATTCAAGAACAGATAAAAAATGTGTAACTAACAATAATTAACTTGGGTTTGTCATTCTTGACTTGGGACTTGAAGTTGACTTGGGACTTGAATGCAAAGACTTAAGACTTACTTGTGACTTGCAAAACAATGACTTGGTCCCACCTCTGCAAAATACCAACCTAACAACCTAAATACATTTTATTCATTGTGAGGATTTGTTGCTTTTCTGTTTCATATCATAAACTGAATATCTTTTTGGATTTATAGCCATATTGAATAAAATATGTGTAAAAAAATAAGTTTTTGCCACATTTCATTGACTAAACAATTCATTACACAATTAAATAACATATTTCAAAAGTGGAACTAATAATACTTGAATCAAAAATGAAATTAATCATTATTGCAGGCTTAAGTGCTACAGTAATGAAATGAAAAATGCATGCTTTCATAGAGCCTGTGGCAAGACCAGCTCACGAGGCAGTCATAAGTTAGCTTTTGTCACCACCCCTTCTTTGATTTGCCTGTGAGACACAATCACTTAAGTCTTTATACAGTACTCACTAATGCGGGCCACACAGAGTACAGTGGGCACTGGTACACACAGCGTACCGGAGCAGGTGTGTGTGTGTGTGTGTGTGTGGGGGGGGGGTAATCGTGCTTTGACACATGCACATGCACATGCACACACACACACACACACACACGCACGTTGATTCCATTTCTTATGTCTCTCTCTCTCTCTCTCTCTCTCTCTCTCTCTGCTTTCAGTTACTCTGTGACAGTGCAAGAGTCATACGCCCATCCGTTTGATCAGATTTACTACACCAGCTGTACCGACATCCTCAACTGGTTCAAGTGTACCAGACACAGGTAAGGACCACATCTCTGAGGCCTGATACACACCAGATTGTGTGTGTGAAGGGCCATACCACTGTTTATGCATGCTTGTACTGCACAGTATACTTCACCTACCTGTCACCATACTACAGTGTTTTTAGCCCCTCCAGGTTTAAAAGTCACTGGAGTCAGGCAGGCACACTGATGGTCTTGTTTTTGTCAGACTTATGTAACTAAATGTAAAACCACACAATGGAGAGTTTCCTCTGTCCTGTTCATTACAACAGATTTGACTTTTGCTGCTTAGATGCTGCAATAACATTACTGCATGCATGGAAATGCTTAAAATTACTGAAAGCAGCCTCTCTGATCATTCAAGGAAATTGTTAAAGAACATCAATACAACATACAATAAAGAAATCCCCTAGAAAGTTTGCACTGCTCAACATAAATTAAAAGGAAATATTGCCTACAGGAACGTGTGAGAGATACAGAAGTATCCGCTTCCATACCACCAGACTACAGAGCAGTTTCTTCACTCAGGCTGTAATTCATCCTCAGCACTCCACCATGAAAAATTGCTTTTTATTTTTATGACTTATTAATCACCATGTACTGTATATAATTCTTGAATATGTTTTGTTTTTATGGGTAGCATAAAGGGAACTACAACCTGCATTATACCTTGTGAACCTAAATGAACCTTGCAGTGTTGGGCAAGTTACTTTTAAAAAGTAATTAGTTACAGTTACTAGTTACTTCTTCCAAAAAGTAACTAAATTAGTTACTCAGTTACAAATTATAAAAGTAACTAGTTACTTCAGAAAGTAACTATTGCGTTACTTTCAAGTACATTTTTAAATGCTCAAATGTGACCCCACCTCCACCCCTCTTTAACAGAACTCAAAATACATGTGCATGTTCAATTATTTATGGTTATTATAATGAGATGGACACTTAATACAATACATTATTAACAGAAACAATGTACACAAATCTAAACTATTTTAATGTTGCTGTGGGACAAAGTGAAACTAGCCTCCAATCAAATGCCATGTATGTAGATATTATGTTTATATAGTGGATCGATACAAAGAACAATAGATGTTTTGGAACTTTTGATATTTATTGCCCCTCAACAGGCCACAACTGGGCAAAATTCAATTATGCTTGTTAAGCACTATACCAAAAATAAATATCAAATATATACACTCTTTGTAGTGCAAATAAAACAAAAAAAAAAACTTCAGACAATTGGTAGATATACTGTACTTCAAGTATTTTCTTCCTCGAAAAAGTAGAACAGTGTAACAATATGAAGTGCTTTCGATCTAACTGAAAAGTACAATGTATAGCAAAACTAAGGAATCCAAATATAAACAGGTAATACATAAGAAATAAAAAATACATCTCCATAAAAATAAATCTCTTTCTCTGGCCATTGACAATCTCACTTCAAGAGGCTGCAGCCAGCCAACAAATAAATCTAAATTAAATGATGCTCTTTAAGCAATGTACCAAAAATGTATTCAAAAAATATATACACTCTTTTTAGTGCAAATGTAATAAGATGCAACACAACTTGCCATACCTGTCTCTCATTGACTGACTCGCTTGTGTTGTTCGTTGTGTGTCGGACTATGCATGCTTTCGAACACCTGCCCAACTCTACCTCTGATTGGCTTACCATGAAATTTTACGCGCTATTCCCATCACTGGAACCTTGTGTAAATCAAAACAGATCATTATCTTTGTAAAGGTAGAATTTGTGGTTGAGCTGTTGTATTAGATTGCATTAGATTGTAAAGCGGCCACTGACTGTATAAAACAATACAAGATTTAGGCATATTTTTAGTCCTCAACTTTGGAAATACTTATTCATACTGAACTTTTCGAGTTCATTTTCCAAACTATGCACAATATATTGTGGTTGTTGATGCTGTCAGTTGATATTATTGTGTGTAGCCTTCTGAGACTTTGAAGAAGGCTACCTGAAGAAGAAAGATTTTAATATTCAATTCAATTCAATTTTATTTGTATAGCGCCAATTCATAACAAAAGTTATCTCAGGACACTTTTCAAATAGAGCAGGTCTAGACTGAACTCCTTATAATATGACTAATAATACTTAATTATTCTTTTTTAAGTAATCAATCAATCAAACTTCATTTGTATCACACATTTCATACAGTTTAGTGCAGTTCATAGTGTTTCACAGACGATTGAAAAGATGATAAAAGACAGAATAAAAAATATAATAAAATGTCTGAAAAGATTCAAAAAAGAGTGCAATAATAAAAACTACAATAAAATACAGGTATAACGATAGTATTTGATAAAAGTTATAAATATAACGAAGAAAGCAGGCAGAAATAACAAATCAAAAGCAGTAAGAAGGACATTTAAAATAAATTACTAATGAAATTCACAAAAGAAAATACGATCAAATAATTTAGTAAAAAATGGTTAATAATGTCTAAGAACTAACTAATGTGTTCTCTCTTTCTGGTCCCGGCTCTCTGGCCGCAGAGTTCTGAATCAGCTGTAGCCGATATATCACTTTTTTGAGTAGACCAGATAGGAATGCATTACAGTAATCTAGCCTGCTCGGGATAAAAGCATGCATTAGTTTCTCTGTGTCAGTCTGTGGTAGCATAGATAAAAAGGATTGTCCCTAAAATCGATCCTTGGGGAACCCCACAGGTTATTTTGGGGGTTTTAGAAAGATTATTATTATAGGTTGTGACAACAAACTCTCTTTTAGAAACAGCTCATGACAGTCCAACATAATCCCTGAGTCTATTTTGTTCCTTTTATTTAGTTTAAATTAGTTAAAATGTATAGTTTTAAAGGCTTAAAATTAGCATCCATTTTTAAAACCTTAATATAATATAGTTAAGACTCTCAAATAAAATACAATATCCATTTGAAGAATGGAAACAATATAGCTATAGCTCTTTACATTTGATCACTTATCTCCCTTACTGCCAAAATGTTTCATGGAGAAGGTGTGTAGTGCAGAAACAAACATACAGCATAATTATGATTAATAATCACATAGACATGGTTTTGGCCCACAGGATCTTCATCAGGACAGAGTTGCAAGATTAATGATAGCTAATTCCATATAAAGACAATAGACTCTTCATTTTCCACTCCACATTTTTATATACGGGATGATATTAATGTTTCCTTTACTGATTGATCCTGTATGTGGTCTCACGTCTTGTCTGTGTGCAGGGTGAGCTATCGGACAGCATACCGTAGAGGAGAGAAGACCATGTACCGGAGAAAGTCCCAGTGCTGCCCAGGCTTCTACGAGAACGGAGAGATCTGTGCTCGTGAGTATCTCTTCTTTTATAAGGACTCACATGATTTTCATACTCATTGAACCATTCAGTGAGCCCTCGTATCCTATAGATGGGGGCTTTGTCATCCTGGAAGAGACCTCCCCCATCAGGATAAGTTGTGTGCTTGTAAACATTGTTATTATGTTATATTAGGTTGCTTGGGACATCCATTTTCAATGTTAAAAAGCTCTCTCTGTGTTACAAAGTGATTGGTTATATCTCCAGTTTGTTTCACTAGAGGAATATGGAAGGAGAGCATTGTTTCAGGTAAGGGTGTATGTTTGTTAGCGGCCGTTCTTGCCATTGTTCAAGCTGCTACTTTGCATTTTGAAATCCCTAGATGATTGGTACATAGGTGCTGAGATCGCTGACCGTCTGGTATTGTGGGACTAAGTGGACGCAAACCATGCCAGCCACATGCAGCATAACAGAGCCACCAGATCCCCTCACTGTAGGGCCTGCACCACTGTCTTGGTGCACTCGCCCACTTGTCCAGAATGTGGTGAAGGATGACTCATTTGACTGTATCACTTTTCCATGTGTGTGTAGACCTGTGCCAATATAGTTTTTGTACCACTGAACTCTCAAATGTGCATTCCTCTTTGTAATGAGGGGTTTATGCACTGACTGCTGCCCTATTATAATATCCTTTCTGTGTAATTGTCAGACGGACTGTTTTTGCAGACACAGTCTGATCCTGCATTGACATTCTGAGTCACCTGAGGAAGAGTTGCTCTCCTGTTTTTCCCTACATATCGCATTCAATTTCGCACTGCGGTCGGCAGCACCAATCTGCACTGTCAACCACCGTTTCTGACACTATTTACTCATGTCTTTCCCATAGCAAGTGTCACTTTAGTTACTGTTCCTATTGAACCACTTGCCAAAAAACAGAAAATGGAACCAGTGCCTTGATGATGACATCAGATTTCCTTATATTCAAACTTTCACACACACATATACAACAATCAGCCATAACATTATGAAGTGGTCCAAGGAAGGAAAAGCCGTGAACCAGAGACAGGGTCACTGATGCACATGGAGAGTGAAGGCTGGCCCGTTTGGTCCGAACAACAGACGAGTTACTGTTACTCAAACTGCTGAAACAGTTAATGCTGGTTCTGATGTGTCAGGTGTCAGAACACACAGTGCATCACAGTTTGTTGGTATGGGGCTGCAGAACATTATGAACACCAGGGTGTCCAGGTGGTCAGATTTTATGGCTGTACATACACACACACAGTGGGTACATGCAGAATGCAGTTCAAGGACTGGTTTGACACTGATATGAATCATATTGCTATGGCTCTCACAATCACCACATGCAAGCATGCATAGTCGGACACACAATGAACAACACAAGCGAGTCAGTCAACGAGAGACAGGTATGGCAAGTTGTGTTGCATCTTATTACATTTGCACTAAAAAGAGTGTATATTTTTTTTGAATACATGTTTGGTACATTGCTTAAAGAGCATCATTTAATTTAGATTTATTTGTTGGCTGGCTGCAGCCTCTTGAAGTGAGATTGTCAATGGCCAGAGAAAGAGATTTATTTTTATGGAGATGTATTTTTTATTTCTTATGTATTACCTATTTATATTTGGATTCCTTAGTTTTGCTATACATTGTACTTTTCAGTTAGATTGAAAGCACCTCATATTGTTACACTGTTCTACTTTTTCGAGGAAGAAAATACTTGAAGTACAGTATATCTACCAATTGTCTGAAGTTTTTGTTTTGTTTTATTTGCACTACAAAGAGTGTATATATTTGTTATTTATTTTTGGTATAGTGCTTAACAAGCATAATTGAATTTTGCCCAGTTGTGGCCTGTTGAGGGGCAATAAATATCAAAAGTTCCAAAACATCTAGTGTTCTTTGTATCGATCCACTATATAAACATAATATCTACATACATGGCATTTGATTGGAGGCTAGTCCCACTTTGTCCCACAGCAACATTAAAATAGTTTAGATTTGTGTACATTGTTTCTGTTAATAATGTATTGTAGTGTCCATCTCATTATAATATTAAGATTTATCATAAATAATTGAACATGCACATGTATTTTAAGTTCCATTAAAGAGAGGTGGAGGTGGGGTCACATTTGAGCATTTAAAAATTTACTTGAAAGTAATGCAATAGTTACTTTCTAAAGTAACTAGTTACTTTTATAATTTGTAACTTAGTAACTAATTTAGTTACTTTTACTTGCCCAACACTGGCCTTCTACATGTGTTCTTACTGTGATTTCACTTGCCAGTAAGGCTACTGTGTACCCCACACCCCTCTTTGTGAGTAGCCAGCAGGGAGCAACAGGTGTGAAGCCACGGTGGCCAGTGGCAAAAATAACAACTGTTGTTGAGCAGCGACAGTAAAATAAAGCATTATGTCAACACACAGCCTGTTGTTGTGATGGTGGAAGTAACCAGTGATAAAAAAGTCATAATATCTGTGTGCTTTGGTAGAGATGGAGACCACAGTTTGATTCATGCAGGGGGCTGTGATAATGTGCCCCGGGAGATCAGAGGGGAATTTATTTTGGTGTGAAAAGGCTCTGTTGTATAAGCAGCTATCACATGCCGCTCACTGAGCTCCTTCACTAAACACTGCAGGAAGGACGATCTGCCAGATACTGCAGGCAACATGGCATTCCCAGATGGGAGAGGAAGATTGAAAAGGAAGTCAAAATGCATTAAGAGTAATTGCAGAACTGTGCCTGGTGGTTTGTTACACAGAACCATCTGGGAAGTTGTTGTTGGAAAATGTTGGGAAAAGGGCAGGCACTTGAGGCAAAATACTCAGCAGGTAATTTGATACACCATCTGTCTATCATATCTATCAGAGTGAACTTTAAACAATCAGATCAATGAACCATGTAACATAGTCATTGTTTAATAAAGTCAGAGAGAAAACATCCTTCAGTGCCGTTCTTTGCTCTTCTTTTTTTAACACCTTTGTTTATTGGGATTTTTGCAGGGTTATACGACACTTATAATAGTAAGAAGTACAATTGCCTTTTATGACGTGCCATAGAAGAATAAAAAAACATTTATTTTCATAATGAAGTGAGCATTAGGCCCTGATCCTGCTAGACCAGGAACAGTAACAAACACGCACATTAGAAGAAAACAACAAGTCATCCGTTAAAAGAAAACGTACAAGAATATAAACTTACTAATGAGGATCACACATGACACCCTACCACTCCATAATTAATTTATTAGTTTGGAATGTCTGAAAATGTACAACTCTTAATGTACTTGAGAAAGGGGCCCCAGATCTTGAAGAACGAATTTGACTTTCCTTAGAGGGAGAGTCTTATTTTCTTCAGCTTAAGAAAACAAAAGCACATCTCTTATCCAATGTACATGTGATGGAGGTTCAGGAGATTTCCACTTCATCAGGATCAGTCTTCTGGCCAATAAACAGGTGAAGGCATTTACCTTTTTTTGAGATACAGAGAAAGAGGGCAAGGACACCCCGAAGAGAGCACTAAGATGGTTAGGGTCAAGTTTTCGGACCAGTATTTCAGACAGAGTATTAAACACCATTGCCCAAAAGTTCAGCAAGGATGGGCAGAGCCAGAGCATGTGTATAAGGTTAGTAGGGGCCTGCTGACACCTATCACAAGTCGGGGAGACATCATTGTATATCTTAGCTAGGTGACCCATGTTTTTTTTGTTTTATTTGCACTACAGAGAGTGTATATATTTGTTATTTATTTTTGGTATAGTGCTTAACAAGCATAATTGAATTTTGCCCAGTTGTGGCCTGTTGAGGGGCAATAAATATCAAAAGTTCCAAAACATCTATTGTGTTATTTGTATCGATCCACTATTATTCCCATCACTGTAGAAGACACAGGTTCTGTTTTTCGATCTACTTTTAGAGACTATAGGAACCACAAGTAGCCCAGCATTCAGAGAACGTAGTGTTCTAGAGGGGTAATAGGGTACTATGAGCTCTTTAAGATATGAAGGGGCCTGACCATGAAGAGCTTTATAGGTGAGGAGGAGAATTTTAAATTCTATTCTAAATTTTACAGGGAGCCAATGCAGAGAAGCTAATACAGCAGAGATGTGATCTCTTTTTCTAGTTCCTGTCAGTACTCGTGCTGCAGCGTCTTGAGTTATTTGGAGCGTTTTAATGGACTTATTGGGGCAACCTCATAATAAAGAGTTGCAGTAATCCAGCCTAGAAGTAACAAATTCGTTTTTCTGCATCTGTCTGTGATAGGATGTGTCTAATTTTTGTAATATTACGTAAATGAAAGAAGGCAGTCCTAGAGGTCTGCTTCATGTGGGAATTAAATGACAAATCCTGATCAAAGATGACTCCAAGATTCCTGACAGTGGTGCTAGAGGCCAAGGTAATGCCATCTAGAGTAACTATATCTTTAGACAGTGAGTCTCTTAAGATTTTTGGGGCCAAGTACAAGAATTTCGTTTTTTTCTGAGTTTAACATCAGAAAATTGCAGCTCATCCAGGATTTTATGTCCTTAAGACATGTTTGTAATTTAGATAATTGATTAATTTCATCGGGCTTGATCGATAGATATAACTGCGTATCATCTGCATAACAGTGAAAGTTAATGGAGTGATTTCTAATAATATTGCCTAAAGGGAGCATATATAAAGTAAATAGTATTGGTCCAAGTACAGAACCTTGTGGAACTCCATGACTAACTGTAGTATTTATTGAAGATTCATCGTTAACATGTACAAACTGCGAACGATCTGATAAATATGACTTAAACCAGCTTAGTGCGGTTCCTTTAATGCCAATTTTATGCTTAAGTCTCTGTAAAATAATATTATGGTCAATGGTGTCAAATGCAGCACTAAGATCTAATAATACAAGTACAGAGACAAGTCCATTGTCAGAAGCAATCAAAAGGTCATTATTAACTTTAACCAGAGCTGTCTCTGTGCTGTGATGAACTCTAAATCCTGACTGAAAATCCTCAAATAAACTATTGTTATGTAAAAAGTCACACAAATCTTTGGCGACTATTTTCTCCAGAATCTTAGAGAGGAAGGGGAGGTTAGAGATCGGTCTATAGTTGGCAAAAACCCCTGGGTCAAGAGTGGGCTTTTTAAGAAGGGGTTTAATTACAGCTACTTTAAAGGACTGTGGTACATATCCTGATAATAAAGAAAGATTTATCATATCCAGTAAAGAAGTGCCAATTAAGGGTACGACTTCTTTAAGCAGCCTAGTTGGGATCGGGTCCAACAGACAGGTTGATGGCTTCGATGTAGAAATTATTGAAGTTAACTGGTGAAGATCGATAGCAGAAAGACAGTCTAAATATATATCTGAGTTTACATTAGTTAAAGTTCCTGAACTTGGAGAGCCACTGATAACTGTTGATGGCAGTTGGTGATTAATTTTCTCTCTAATAGTAATAATTTTATTATAATTAAAAGTCAACATTTAAAAGACTGATTGGGCAGCAGGACACAGGGTCTTTGCATTTTTTAAGGATTAAAGAAATTGAGGCTTGAGTTAATGTTTCTGGAAGGCAACCTAAATTATAAGATCCACTCTACATTTCAATAAGAAGGGGAGCTAATTTGTGCCAAAATGTCCTGTAAAACTCTGAAGGATAACCATTGGGCCCAGAACATTTCGTACTTTGTAATGAAGACACAGCCAATTTGAGCTCTTTAGCTGAAATAGTTTTTTTCAAATTCCTCTGCTAGCCTCTGTTCAAGCATGGGAAGATTAATAGTATCAAAAAAAAACCATTAAAGTCAATGAGGGTTGATTGTTGTTTAGATGACAAAAGGGAAGTATAAAATTGTTATGCCTGAATCGGTTTCAAGCTTCAAAATACCTAGGGTTCTGGTAACACTCAAAAAGAAGTATATTTGTTGAGAGATAAAGTTGACAAAATCCTCAGAGAGGAGAGGAGTATTGAGCAAGCATGGCAAGGGCTCACTGATACGATCCTGGAAGCATATATTCATGGAGACTAATGGATGGTCGGAAAGAAGTGGAAAGAAGTGGCTGATGAGGAGGTGTTGCTGACTGGCAGAGTGGAGCAGGGGCAGCCTAGTGGAAAAGTAATGAGATGGCTGAGTTGAACAGGTGATGAGGAAGGCAGACTGTGACAGAACCCCCCCCTCAGGGGACGGCTCCTGACATCCCAAAAACCACCAAGTAATAGCCGGGTGGAAGGCGGGGGCCTGAAGGAGGGCTAATACTCACCCGAGTAGTAGTTGTCGTCCTCCATCTCGGTACTCGGGGGTGCTTCATCTACGTCAGAGGAGGAGCACACGTCGTCAAACAGGTACTAGAGAGCCCTCCCTCGACGACGGGACCGGAGGAGACAGTGGACGGAGTAGACAGGACCCCCATCGACCAGGCGGTGCCAGTTTCTTGGATTCCACCTTTAGAGGGAGGTCCTGGGTGGACAGCCATACTTTCTGGACGAACAGACGGTCAAGAGGGCATGAGCTGGGTCCAGGCTGATCCTCCACCTTTGGGAGAGAACAGCTCCTACCCCCTACGTCGGAGGCTTCCACCTCCACCACAAATTGTTGGCATTTGGAGGATGGGGGCCGATGTAAACCGGGTCTTGAGGGACTGGAAGGCCACTTCTGCAGCAGAGGACCAACGGAAGAGAACCTTGGAGGAGGTTAGAGCTGTGAGAGGTGCGGCAACAGTGCTCTAGCCCCGGATAAACCTCCGATATCACAAGGTATTCGTAATGCCCCAAGGGTGTGTTGAAGGCCGTCTTCCACTCGTCCCCCTCTCGGATGAGGACCAGGTGGTAAGTGTTGCGCAGGTCCAGCTTAGTGAAGAAGGTGGCACCTTCCAGGAGCTCGAAGGCAGAGGAGATGAGAGGGAGAGGGTTCCTGACAGTAATGTCATTAAGGCCTCGGTAGTCGATGCAGGGTTGCAGGGACTTGTCCTTCTTGGCGACGAAGAACCGGCAGGAGAGGAGAACGGACGGATGATACCTGCAGCCAGGGAGTCATTGATGTGAGTGTCCATGGCTTCTCTCTCAGGGGCGGACAGGGAGTACAGGCGACCCCTGGGAGGAGTTCAAGCATGGGGTTGCACGGGTTCCATGTCTATGGCGCAGTCGTGGGGGTGCGGAGGTAGATTGGTGGCCTTGGCCTTACTGAAGACCTCCCTAAAGTCATGGTACTCGGCCAGGACCCCTTTCAGATCAGGGCCTGTTCCTGGTTGGAGATGGCCTGGTGAATCTCCGTATTGGAGGCGGAGAGCATGGCCTTGTGGTGCTGGGAGTGTGCTCAATTCTCTCGAAGCGACTTCGTGGACCAGCAGTGTGCACTTTGAGTCCATCTTTGGCCAGATTGTACTGTAACGGGTCAGTTTAGGACCCAAAAGCAGCACACTGCATACTGATATGAAGGACCGTAGGTTGGCGAATGCCAAACTTAAAGTTGGGAAACAAATGCAGTTCCTTCTTCACCTTAGCAAATGCAACGCGTTTCTTAGCTTACACTGAGGTAAAATCTGGGAAAAATGGAAATCCTCCTGCACTTGTATGACAAAGGGGAAGCCTCTCTGGCCTACCGTAGGATGTGATTTCTAACCTGAAATAGGTTTACTCTGATTACCATTGCACGAGGAGGTTCCCCATTCCCCGGTTTGGAGCGTAAAGTGCGGTGAGCCCAGTCCAGAATAGGCTTCTCCCCCAGGCCGCGTAAGTCTTGCAGTAGCTGGGACGAGGACCCTCCGCTCCCTTGGGCAGACCCACCAGGCGAATGTTGTTCCATCTTGTGCGCCCCTGTGGCCTGGAGGTTGGCGAGCTGGTTAGCGTGTTCGGTAGCGGACTCCTCCAGGTCCTTAATGGTCTCCTGATGTGAAGAAAGTTCATGTTCAAATGGCTCTAGAGCGGTCGTAATCTTTCTTCTAACCGACTCTGAGATTATCGAGTTAAAGTCATCAACTATTTCTGCTCGTAGGTCGTCCATCATCTGCTTACTGCTACAAAACATAGCTGCATTAGCGCCCTCTGAATCCTGGGGGTCAGGTTCAGGTGACTGCCTTGGAGTGCTCGAATTTTGTTCAAGAAGACCGCATTTATATTTATTTATTTATATATTTATAAAAGGAAAAAAGTGGTTTGTTTACAAAATAGAACTACAAAAAATACACCCGATCGATTAACAATGAGAAAGGTGCCATAAAATATATAAAATAATTACATTCCCAGGGAGAGACTGTAACAGACGTCTACAAACTCCCCCCTCCCCAAATGCCCTTCCTTTGCTCTTCTTTCAATGAAGAAAGTAATACTCATCGTTCTTATAGAACTGATACTAGCAGCAGCTACGCTAATCTCTTTAGCAGTCACCATTGTTGTTTTCTCACCCACATCGTCACACACACTTTTGATTGAAGGGTCAATGTACTTTGTGGCAGAAGGATTTTGATTATGAAATGAGAAAACCAAAATCAGGTTTTGCGAATACCATTTATAAATAGGGGGACGAAAAAGGAAAAATTACTCAATTTATTTGATGTGCTTGTAAATGGAAATCGGGAATTAAAATACTTTTTTGTCGTGACCTGGAAGTCAAAGCTTTGAAAAGGGTCATACCTCTCATGCAAGTATTATCGCCCCTGTTGGTCAGATGATTTATTGTATTTTAAGAATGTAATTGTGTGTGTGTACAATTATTATTAACTGCCCTATTTATAAACGATAGTCGGGAAACAGCTCCTTTCCCAATTCAGTTTTTCTCATTCCAAAACAAAGCCTTTAAGGTAGACTGATCTGAGTCTTCTTGCTTCTTGTTTAAAGCACTCTGCTCTTTTGAAAACAATCCAGTCATTACTCAGTGAAAATAGTTAAGAGCCGAAAACAATGATTATTTATAACTGAACTTGACATTTTTAGAAAAAATGGTCCGATCCTATTTTGGATTCAGTCAAGTTATCAGACATGGAAGTCTCAAGTAAGCCAAGTCTCACAACAGAGTCCAAGTCCTTATTTTACAGCGTAAGTCAGATTCAGGTGCCACCCACTTCTTCATCGCTCTTTTAAAAGGGAAAGTCTAAACTAAAACCATAATTATTTTACCTCTACATGACTGACTGATGCAGATATCTTTGTGACTGTTCTGATCCCTGTCTTCCTGTCTCCTCCATGTGCAGCTCATTGTGCAGAGAGCTGCGTTCACGGCCATTGCATGGCCCCCAACACCTGCCAGTGTGAGCCGGGCTGGGGGGGATCCAACTGCTCCAGTGGTAAGTCCTCCAGCTGTTGCTGTCTGTGAGCAGTCACAGTCTTTGTGTGTGGGACTCTGGTTTTCTGTGAAAGCACTCTGAACTTACAAGAGGAAAAACAGACCGTGGTGTCGTCTTACTGACTGCTGCACTGTGCCACACTAACAGTCACACACACCGCAGGAGAAAATACACTAATTGTACTCATGGCTATGGGGGTTTTTGTTCAGACATACATACATACATACATTTCCTCAAGTACAAATTTGGGATACTTGCACTTTACCTACTACTTAACCATCCACTACATTTCAGAGGCAAAAATTACTACATTTGACAGCTAGTTTGCTGATTACTGATAGCTGATATATTAGCTTATAAACTTTAATGTGCTTTCCAAATTATTGTTTGGGAGCAGGCTGTGGCTCAGAGGCAGAGCAGGTCGTCTGCTGATCGGAAGGTTGGTGGTTTAATCCCCGGCTCCTTGAGCAAAATACTGAACTGTGTGGATGAATGAATTAATGAGTGCTGTTTGCTGGGCTTTGCCTTTAATGTGTGAATGTGGAATGTAGTGTAAAAGTGCTTTGAGTGTTTGGAAGACTAGAAAGGCGCAATACAAGTACAGTCCATTTAATATTTTGAAAGTTTTTATTTTTAAAAGATTTGAATGTTTGAAAATATACATCAGCATGAATTCAACACATTATTATTATTATTATTATTATTATTATTATTATTATTATTATTATTATTATTATTATTATTATTATTATCATTATGTGTGTTTAAAATCAAAATAATGTTCAGTAATTTTTACTTTTACATATTGTTTTATGAACATCAAGGAAATGTATTCATCATTATACAACACAAGGCTGTATAACGAAACTAAGGTTCGCTGTTCCTTCATGCTACACACATAGAAAAAGATCAATTAAATTTCTTTGCCATCTGTATCAAACAAATGTGTTTTTTTACATCTGGAGACCAAGATTTGTAGGCCAGGGCATCTCAGCAGCACTACAATACTTCATTATAATGCTGTTTGTCACATTTTACCTTTATCAAACAAATTGCAGCTTCTGGGATTTGGATATTGCACTTGGCAATACTGCAACCAGCCCTGGTTGGATGGGGTCCCTGCTCACTCTCTCTATCAAGCAAGGCAGGGGTTCCCAATCGTTTCCATGCCAGTTACCCCCGAATAACAGCTAGCAAACAAGTTAGCTAATTTCAGGAGCAGAGCAGCTCCATGGCAGGCACAGATTGTTGTCACACACTGACAGTTTATGTGATGGATGATGTTTTGACCGGCAGGTAATTAGAACATTTATTCATACACATTGTCAAATTGATGCCGTAGCTATTCGATTAGCTATTAAATTAGCTCCATCTCAACCAAACCTACATTAAAAGATTTTTGCCTTTTTTCTGAGAGTGAGACTGATATGTCATGTCTCATTGGGTACAGATTAAACAATAATATGCAACATATAAATCAGTGAGCTTTAGAGGAGTTGGTGTATTTTTGAACTTAGCTAGCTCAGGGGTCAGCAACCTTTATTATCAAAAGAGCCATTAAAGGCCAAACAAACAAATTCTTCCTTGTTTTCTTTGGATTTGGAATCCATCGCTAGCCTGGCTAGGGACACTGACACACAGAATTGTGTGTATTTTATCTGTTTGTCAATTTGAATTCTTTGGGTTCCTTTCACAAGCCCTCAAGGTTTTTTTTAATTTCATCTGTGCTTTTTTGTTATTGTATATTTAATTATCTTTTATTTTATGCACAAAAATAAAGATAGATAAATAAAATAATAATAATAAATAAAAAAGAACATAACACACACATTCTTTACTCTACACACCTTTACAATTATATAATCTTAAAATCACTTTAGGCCTAATTATACATGAAACTGTTAAAGAAATTATTCAGTTCCATATAATTTTTCATTAAAGCCACAGGATGCCACTGGAGAGGGCTACATGTGGCTCTAAAGCCACAGGTTGCCTTCCCCTTGGTTAGCTATATCCCCCTGCTTCCAGTCCTTATGCTGTGTTCAACCACAGTGAATTGGAAGATTAATAGTTGCTTTTACTCTCTGAATCTGTGAAAATATTGTGAGCAAATCACTTATCAGGCTACAATTCCTGGAGGAATTTGTGATTAAAAAATATCTAAAAAATGGGGCAGCCTTTATTCACTGACACATTGTAGTCTACACTGAACATTTACTAATGAACTGACTTCCCTTCCTGCCAATTTACAATTTTTAAGCTTAAGTTAAATTAAGCTCTGTTACTATCATAGGCTGTATAATTAAAAATGGACGCAGTTACAAAACATATTTGAGCCTCATAAGGCTGCAGATCAGGCATACTGGTAAACCAGTAGCATTGGCAGTGAAAGCAAACTGTCCACAGACTATTAATTCTCTATTTTCCTCAGATATTTTAGTTTTTGGGGATTTGGAATCCAGAAAGTAGCCACCAGGTTTGGAAAAATATAGAAGAAAGGTATAGAAGAAAGGCGCCAGGTCAGGACGTAATCTATGACTCATAGGGATGGGAATTGAGATCAGTCATTGCCTCCGAGGTTATCAATTCCTTTTATTGGTGCCAGCATGTTTTACTGACAGTCGGGCCTGGCAAAACCGTGACATGAAATGTGTGTGTCTATGCTGTTGCAACTCATGCATGCATGAAGAAACACTCCAAAGTGGCTTCATTTCACATCAGCAATATACTTAAACATCTTTCAACGCAACATGGACTTAAATTTCAGGAATCTCATGTATTTGACACCCTTATGGGTGGGAGTGGAAATGGCCCCAAGGCCGGCAGTTTGAGACTTAAATAAATAAAATGAATACTATGCAAATATTAGGGATGGAAATCAAGAACAAGTATCTAGTTGAGAACCAGTTCCAAATTAAATGGTTGTTAAACAGTGGAGCTTTTACACACCTGAGTAATATGAATCTCTTTTTTTCTACTCTTTTTTTCTACACTGTGTGTGTTTGTATATATATATATTACATGATGGAGTGCTGAGGATGAATTAAGCAAAGCTTGAACTGAAGCTGCTCTGTAGGCCGGTGGTACAGCAGCCGATACTTCTGTATCTCTTGTCAGACGGCAGCAGGGTGAACAGGCTGTGGCTGGGGTTGGTGTTGTCTTTTAGCATCATTTGGGCACTGCAGGCACCTAGCCTCACCAATATCACTGATGCTGGACAGACATGACAGCTACGCAAAAGTGAAGCCAAAACATCTCAAGCAAACTCTGGCGGCTGACTGCAGTATATGTCATAAAGTAAACATCAAATAAAATTTCATAAATTTTTTTATGCTACCAAGGCGCCTCATTTTAGGTATAGTTCTTATCACTTTTATTTTTAAGTATGACCTTTTCTATGCTTTTCATTTTTGTACAGTGGGAGGAAGTGCAGATGCGACATCCATCTTTTATATGTCATTGCGTAGCTGAGTACCAATGAACTGGGCAGTTTTAATCACCTGCTGCAGAGTCCTCTTGTCCTGGGCCATACACATCATCACACCATTATGCCATTTTTTGATGTTTCCAGTCAGGTTGGTTTCTATTGGTCCTCTGTAAAAATTAACAAGAACTTGGCACAGGAAATTTGCTTTCTTAAGTTTAATCTTTATAAGCAGCTGTGGACAAAAGTGGGAAGTCCTCTTGTCTTGTGCGTCTTTGTCAGCTCATCAGTTGACACTTCAAAGGTCTCAGACCTCAGACTAGCATAATGTCTTCAGGCTAATGTTAGCACTGTACATCTGCCACAGTGGTAGCTTTAACTCATCAGCACATTAGGACTTGTTTGTGTTTGGGTGATTTTAATAACCCTTGGTCGAAACATGAGATAGTTTGTTTGCACCAAACTTGCAGACAGTGTCCTCTCAGTGTCTGTGGGAGGTTATTTTTTGTCTGTGCTTATGAGCCTGTGAATGTGTCTCCATGCAGGCCTATATGCTGATATGCATGACGAGCCCACGGGGTGTGCCTCTGCTGTCTTCAGTGTCAGCCTGTAATAAAGGAACTTATTGTTGTGTCTGGGCCCCAGGGCTCTCCTGGGCCCCACTAGGCTCGGTCCGTCTGTCTGCTCTCACAAACTCTGCACTCTGTAAAAAAGAAGTTTCTTTTGTCGACAGGAACTTAATGAAAGTATGAATAACTTGATTTGATTTTTCATGGAAAATGAGAGGCGCGATTCAGGAAAGATTAGTGTATATGTATCCCTTTTTTTCTTGAGCTTTTTCTCTTCTATTCATTTATTGAGCTAAACAGGATGGACATTTTAAGATAAGTGTTAAGTGTTTCATTCAGCCATCAGTGTACACTCAGTGTTCATTTTCCATGCAGAAATCGTGGCATAATCTTGGAACCTACTGTCCCCTTTGTGTCAAATTAACTTTTTGATAAATTTTACTGTTACCAATGCCATTATGGGTCCGACTCTTTGTCAATTCCCTTATTGGTTCCTGATCAGTTTTCTGTGTATAAAAAAGTAGGCCTAAACTGATTTTCAGCTTCAAGGGAACTGTCTTATTATCTCTGGAGTCTGAACACTGTGTAGAAAAAGAGTAGAAAAACTGATGCATGTTACTGTAATGTAATGTTTAACAACTGTTTAATTTGGAACCAGTTCTCAACTAGAGCCAGTTCTCAGTTTTCATCCCTAATATCTGCTAATATTTGCACAGTTTTCATTCAGGTTTTATTAGTCAAAGAAAAATTCAGCCTGCCTGTATGGGAGTAATGTTATGTATAATATGGGATATTTACCCTCAGTAACGGATGTGCTGTTCGGCTGGGAAGCAGTGGCACTGGTGCGTTACTGGAAACAGTTTTCCATCCCTAATTAACTTACTTATTATAGTATCTAACTCCACTATGTTCACCTACATGTGTTCTGTCATGTTTTTTCAAATTTCACCGTTTTACGGCTGTCATATTCCAGGTACTTTCTGACATTCCTAACCTGTCTCTATATA